TATAGAAATAAAGCAAATAAATAATAAAAAATAGTATAATATATAATATAATACTATATATTATATATTACTATATGCAATATAATGTATTATATATAGTAATATATAGTAATATATAATATTACATATAGTAATATATAATATATAGAACCTATTGTTCTGTAATATATAATATTACAGAACAATAGGTTTCGCAAGGTCTTTGGCCTTCTCTGCTCAAGAGCACTGTTGCCTCCCCAAACTGCAATTCCTAGGATGCCATAACATAGTGGTGCCAAACTGTGTTAACTTTACAGTGTAGATGCACCATAAGATTCACCATATTTATTCCTGGCCTAGATTTTCTCTCCCCCACCCCCGGTGGGTTGCAGGATTTTGAGAAAGAATAACATTTCCCAAGTTAAAGTGATATCAGGCTATAGTTACTCTATAACTAGGATGTATTCCTAAAATCCATAACAGTATTCCAGCACTAATTTTGTATTCTTTCCTCCCTGAAATCAGTGAGAATGTGCCGGCCTACCAGCGCTTCCATGCTCTCGCCGAGGATGTGCCCCCTGGTCTTGCGCTGCCTTATAAGTACAGAGTCCTGGCTGAGATGTTCCGCAGTGCAGACACCATCGTGGGGATGCTCTTTAACCGGTCGGAAACAGCCACCTTCGCCAAGGTCAAGCAAGGGGTCCAGGACATGATGCGCAAGTGAGTGGGCAGCAATGACAGCCCCTTCTGGGGGGTACGTCTGCACTGTGAAATTAACAGTTTGATTGCGCTTGAAGTGTGGTGGCTCAGTACTTAAGGAATCCTAGAAATTGTAGTTTCAGAAATGTCATTCACGTTCTGTGCCAAAGAGGGCAAACTATAACTCCCATGAATCCATATAATTGAGCCATGACCACTAAAGTGATGCCAAAATGCATTCTACACAGTTTCTGTGTGTGCACGCATGCATATAACATATATAATATATACAATAAAATTCACATATATAAATAAACTATGTATATTGTGTTTGCATATATGTGTGTGTGTATATAACATAATACATGCAATGAAATGCATGTATTATATACATACACTATATGTGTATATAACATATAATACATACTATAAATGCATATATCATATACATACACTATATGTATGTGTGTGTTTGTATATATGTAGATGTGTGTATAATACATGCAATAAAATTCATATATGTACACACTACATTTATATGTGTATATACATGTGTGTATACACAATAAAATGCATATATCGTACATCTATGCACTATATATATTTATATATACACACACAGAGTATATATGTGATATATGCATTTTATTATAAATATTATAAATACTAAATATACACACATTGTGTATATACATATATATGCATTTTATTGTGTATTATGTTGTGTATACACATGTATATACACACATATACATGTAGTGTTTACATATATGAATTTTATTGCATTGTACAACACAGTCTAAACATACCAACATACAATTTATTGCAATTGTATAACAGTCTAAACATATCAACATACAGAATACATACAATAAAATGCATATATCATACATCTACACACTATATATACACACACACACACACACACATATATATATATATATACACAGAGAGTATATATATATGATATATGCATTTTATTTTAAATATTATAAATACTAACTATTATGCACACATTGTGTATATACATATATATATATGATATATGCATTTTATTGTAAATATTATAAATACTAAATATTATGCACACATTGTGTATATACATATATATATGATATATGCATTTTATTGTACATATTCTGTATGTTGATATATTTAGACTGTTGTACCCTGCTTTGAGTCATTAGGAATGGCAGGTAACAAATCTATTATTATTATTATTATTATTATTATTATTATTATTATTAATTGGATACACCCTTGGAACCAAACCCTAATATAGTAGTTCTCAGCCTGTGGGTCCCCAAGTGTTTTTGCCTACAACACCCAGAAATCCCAGCCAGTTTATCAGCTGTTAGGATTTCTGGAAGTTGAAGGCCAAAACATCTGGGGACCCACAGGTTGAGAACCAATGTCCTAATAGATACCGAAGACTTATTATATGCAGTTGGGAAGTACTCTGCATGTTTTTCCTTCTGAAAGAATGTTTGTGTATCTCATTATATGTAATTTAATACGCTTGTGTCTTGTCTCTTCTTACCTCTCTTTGAGCTCCAAGGAGAGGTGGGTAATAACTCAATAATAACAACAACAATAATAATAATTGATATTGTTATTATTCAAATATTTACTTTGACATTGAAGGTTTTTTAGTTGGGTCTCTGTGATGGGGAATTATTGTTTTTCTAAATCTAGTGGTTTAGAAAAACTATCGTACCAATAGTTTATTCACTGCCTTTGGGGAAAATGATCTGCAAAGTGAACCCTATACATTTAATATTTGTCGTTCTATAGGCAATTTGAGGAGCGCAACGTGGGTCAGATCAAAACTGTGTTTCCCGATTCGTACATTTTACGCCAAGAGAAGAACGTCCCCACTTTTGGAAGTGGAGGCCCCAAGAAAAGCGACTACCAGCTGACTTTCGAACCACTTCTGGAAGCTGGTATGTTATGGGGCAAAGGATTCAGACCCCAAAATGACCCATTTCCCCAAATGGGGATTTCCCGCCATTGTGGACTTCAAGAAACCCATTGTTATTATTACTATTATATTGGTCTTTGTGTTATGAGATCTCAGAGCTGCACTTAAAGGAGAAGTGGGCAAAGTGGAAGTCTGTTTCAAGAAAAAAATAACTCCTTTTCTGTTAAAAGAAAGGGCATTCTTGGGCTTAAATTGGCACAGGGCTATGGACCATTTCTCATACTAGCCAAACCTACAACAAAATAATAATAATAATAATAATAATAATAATAATAATAATAATGTAATGTTCATTTTTGGGATTAACATAACTCAAAAACCACTGGATAAATTGACATGAAATTTGAGCACTATACCCCTAACAGACCAACGAGTGACCATTGCTCATACCCCGCCCCCACACAGAGGAAAGGACTTAAAAACCCAAAAGAAAGAAAAGAAAAGGAGGAAGAAGGAAAAAGGGGAAAAGAAGGAAAGAGAGAAAAGGAAGGAAATAGGTAGAGAAGGAAGAAAGGAGAAAAGGGGGAAGAAGAGGAAGAAGGAAAAGAAAGGAAGGAAGGAAGAGGGAAAGGAAAGAGAGAAGGAAGATGAAAAAATGCGAAGGAAGGAAAGAGGTAGGGAAAGAGAAATGAGAGAAAGAGAGAAAAAGGGGAAGGAAGGAAAGGTAGAGAAGGAAAGAAAAAAGGAAGGAAGGAAGGAAGGAGAAGGAAGGAGGAAGGAAAGGAGGAAGAAAGGAGGAAGGATGAGGGAAAGAGGTAGGGAAGGAAGAAATGAGAAAAGAAGAAGATAAAGAAAAGGGGGAAGGAGGAGGGAAGGAGGAGAAAGAGGGAGGGAGGAAGGGAAAGGGAGAAGGAAACAAGAAACCAGGGAGAAGAGGGAAGAGAAATGAAGAAGAAAAAAGAAGGAAGGAGAAAAAGGAAAAAAGGAAGAAGAAGAAGGGAGAAGGAAGGAGGGAAGAAGGGAGAGAGGAAGAGAGGAAAGAAAGGAAGAAGAAAGATAAAAGGGAGGAAGGAAGGAAAGGTAGAGAAGGAAAAAAATGGAAGGAAGGAAAGGGAGCGAAGGAAGGAGGGAAAGAAGGAGAGAAAGGGAAGGGAAGAGGTTGGAAGCAAAAAACAAAGGAAAGAAAGGTAGGGAAGGAAGTAATGAGAGAAAGAAGAAGATAAAGAAAAGGGAAAGAAGGAAAGGTAGAGTAGGAAGGAAGGAGAGAAGGAAAGAAAAAGGGAAGGAAGGAAAGTGGGAGCGAAGGAAGGAGGGAAAGAAAGAGAAAGGGAGGGAAGGAAAGAGGATGGAAGCAAAAAAGGAAGGAAGGAAGAAATGAGAGAAAAAAAGAGATAAAGAAAAAGGGAGGAAGGAAGGAAAGGTAGAGAAGGAAAGAAAAAAGGGAAGGAAAGGTAGAGAAGGAAGGAAAGAAAGGGAGGGATGGTTGGCCACAGCAACGTGTGGCAGGGACAGCTAGTAATAACATACTAACAATATATAATGTAATAATATCATAGAATAAACATTATATTATAATTTATTATTATTTAACCCCTTATGGCACAGCTGGTTAAACCGCTGAGCTGCTGAACTTGCCTGGCAGGGTTGACCATGCAGGTTCACAAAACTCAAGATGGCTCTTCTTTCACTTTCAGGCGAGAAACTGTCAGCTTCACGGCTGATGGAGCGCCGGAAAGTATTCAGCAGGAACCTGGTCAACATTGTCAAGAGTCATCACAAGGTCAGCCATTGCGCCTGCCCTTCCCTTCCTTCTCTGCCCAGTTGAAACAAGGTTGTGCATCTACATTGTTGAATGAATGCAATTTGACACCACTTGAACTACCACCACTATGGGACCCTGGGAGATGTAGTTTTCTAAGGCCTTTGGTCTTCTCTGGGTGCATCTATGCTGCAGAATCAATGCAACAAAGCATTGAAATTTTCTAAGATCTTTCCCCGTCTCTCTGTGTATTAATGCAACAAGGTCCTGGGAGTTGTAGTTTCCCAAGGTCTTTTCCCTTCTCTGAGTGCATCTGCACTGGAATCAATGCAACGGGACCATGGTATTTGTAGTTTCCCAAGGCCTAATCCCATCTCTGGGTGCATCTACACTGGATTAATGCAATGGGACCCTGGGAGTTGTGATTTTCAAGGCCTATTCCCTTCTCTGGGTGCATCTACACTGGATTAATGCAATAGAGTCTTGGGAGTTGTCGTTTCCCAAGGTGTTTTGCTTTCTCTGGGTGCATCTACACTGGAATCAATGCAATGGGACCCTGGGAGTTGTAGTTTCCCAAGGCCTTTGTAATGTGTATCTATGCTGCATAATCAATGCAATGGGACACTGGGTGTTGTAGCTTTATAAGACCTTTTCCCTTCTCTGAGTGCTTCTATACTGGATTAATGCAATGGGACCCTGGGAGTTACAGTTTCCCAAGGTCTTTTGCTTTCTCTGGGTGCATCTATACTGGATTACTGCAATGGGACCTTGGGAGTTACAGTTTTCCAACGTCTTTTGCTTTCTCTGGGTGCATCTACACTTGAGACTACAAGTCCCATGGTCCCGTTGCATTGATTCCAGTGCAGATGCACCCAGAGAAGGGAAAAGACCTGGGAGTTGTAGTTTCCTTTGGACTTTGTCATGTGCCTCTATGTTGTGGAATCAATGCAATGGGACCCTGGAGTTGTAGTTTCCTGAGGCCTTTGTACTTTGCCATGTGCACCTGTGCTGCAGAATCACTGCAACGGGAACCTGGGAGACAGAGTTTTCCAAAACCCTTTGCCTTCTCTGGTCACCTCTGCACTGCGGACTCAATGCAGTTTGATGCCACGGCTCTGTTATGGGACCCCGGGAGTTGTAGTTCTCCAAAGATCTTTTAGCCTTCCCTGCCAAGGAGTGCTGGTGCTTTGCCAGGCTGCAGCTCTGAAGGCTGCATAGCATTGAGCCGTGGCACTTAAAGTGATACCGCTTCCTGGTCAATGTGAACCTACGCAGCAGGTGGTTGTTTCTTTCTTTTGATGCCGGTGCCCTTTCCTTTCCGCGCAGGCCTTCCTGGCTTCGCTGAGCCCTCCCATGGCGGTGCCGGAGGGCAAACTGACCCGATGGCACCCCCGCTTTAATGTGGACGAGGTGCCGGACATCTCTCCCGCTGAGCTGCCGCAGCCTCCGCAAGTAGACAAGATCACCAGTGCGCAGGAAGTGCTAGCAAAGGCAAGGAGCATGTTAACGCCAAAGGTAAGGCTTGGAGATTGTGTCCATATCATATCTCTTACCTCATATCCGTATCCCATTGGCCATTGTTTATTGGAAAGCCCATAGGTAAAAGGTAAAGGTTTCCATCTGACATGAAGTCCAGTTGTGTCTAACTCGAATCTATTGGAAATTCCATAACATTATTGTAAAGGTATTGTAACGTTATTGTAAATGTAAAAATTACGTCATCTCTGTTTGGCAAATGTGAATCTCTGTGATCATGGAGACCACCTGAAAAGCTCTTGTCAAAAAGAATGGTATGACCTTGTTAGAAGTCAAACCTTAAAGCAAGTGATAATCATAAAATGTTAATGTAATAGCACACAGGTAGCTCAGCTGTTAAACTGAGGAACCAGGCCACTACAAAAAATATATCTAGTTAGCAGACAATGGTTGTTTGAAATAGGATTTGCAGTTGTAATTTCCTGTTGGTCAAAAGATATACACTCCCTTAAAACATGCTCTCAAGAAACAAAACAAAGTAGTCTTCTTTGAAAAATAACATACTGTATATACTCGAATATAAGCCGAGGCACCTAATTTTATCACAAAAAACTGGGGAAACGTATTGACTCGAGTATAAGCCGAGGGTGGGAAATGCGTCCACTATGGGTCAATTTCAAAATAAAAATAGATACCAATAAAATTACATTAATTGAGGCATCAATAGGCTAAATGTTTTTGAATATTTACATAAAACTGTAATTTAAGATAAGACTGTCCAACTCTGATTAAACCATTATTCTAACTTCCTTCAATGTAAACGTACTTATTATTAAAATAATAAATATAATAAAAATAATAGAGTAAAATAATGAAAATGCAATAAAAACAGTAATAATAGAGTAAAATAATAAATGTAATAATAGGGTAACATACTGTAAATATAATAATAATAATAATAATAATAATAGGGTAAAATACTGTAAATGTGGCGCAGTGGGTTAAAGCACTGAGCTGCTGAGCTTGTTGATCGAAAGGTCGCAGGTTTGATTCCGGGGAGCGGCGTGAGCTTCCGCTGTCAGCCCTAGCTTCTGCCAACCTAGCAGTTCGAAAACATGCAAATGTGAGTAGATCAATAGGTACCGCTCCGGCGGGAAGGTAACGGCGCTCCATGCAGTCATGCCGCCACATGACCTTGGAGGTGTCTACGGACAATGCTGGCTCTTTGGCTTAGAAATGGAGATGAGCACCACACCCTAGAGTCAGACATGACTCGACTTAATGTCAGGGGACTACCTTTACCTTACTGTAAATGTAATAATAATAATAATAAAGCAAAAATAATAAATAGAATAATAATAGAGCAAAATAATGTAAATATAATAATAGAGTAAAATAATAAATGTAATAAAATAATACTAATAACAAAAACCTTGGCCTGCACTTAAACACAATTGGCGCTGACAAAATTACCATCTGTCTGCTGCAAAAGGCCACCCTACTGGGAATAACAGCAATGATAATAATAGTAATAATAATAAAGTATAATAATTCATTTTAGAAATCTCTCGGTTCCCTAGCATGACTGGAGAAATAATAATAATAATAATAATAATAATAATAATAATAATAATAATAATAATAATAATGGAAATAACATGGAAATAATAATAATAATAAGACCTTGGCTTGCACTTAAACACAATCGGCGCTGACAAAATTACCATCTGTCAGCTGCAAAAGTCCACCTAACTGGGAATAACAGCAATGATAATTATAATAATAATAAAGTATAATATTCATTTTAGAAATCTTTCGGTTCCCTAGCATGACTGGAGAAAGTTGACCATATAAATAATAATAATAATTTTAAAAAATTATTATTTAGAAATCTCTAGGTCCTCCAGCATGTCTGGAGAATGTTGACCATAGAAATAATAATAATCGTAGTAATAATAATAATAGTAATTTAGAAATCTCTCGGTCCTCCAGCATATCTGGAGAAAGTTGTCCATGGAAATAATAATAATAATAATAAAGACCTTGGCTTGCACTTAAACACAATTGGCGCTGACAGAATTACCATCTGCCTGCTGCAAAAGGCCACCCTACTGGGAATAACAGGTATGATTATAATAGTAGTAGTAGTAGTAATAATAATAAAGTATAATAATTCATTTTATAAATTTCTCGGTTCCCTAGCATGACTGGAGAAATTTGACCATATAAATAATAATAATAATAATAATAATAATAATAATAATAAATATTATTGTTATTATTTAGAAATCTCTCAGTCCTCCAGCATGTCCGGAGAAAGTTGACCATGGAAATAATAATAATAATAACAACTTTAGTCTGCACTTAACACAATAGGTGCTGACAAAATTACCATCTCCATGACTGGAGAAAGTTGACTATAGAAATATTATTATTAATAATAAACAATAATAATTCATTTTAGAAATCTCTTTGTCTTCATGATGGTCTTGTTATGTTTTTAACTTTGCGAGAAACTGATTTGGGCGGGTTGGTTCTCTTGTCCAGATGGAGAAGGCTTTGGCCAACCTGGCCTTGCGGACAGCGGAGAGCAGCCGCCCTTTGACCCCGGAGTCACCCCGCCCGACCCCTTCGGCCCCCCCAAACACCCCCAGCAGCAGCCTCAGAGGGGTCTCCCAGGCCTTGCTGGAGAGGGTAAGCAATTGGGGCTTTGTGTGTGTATATGTGTGTGTGTTCTGCAATAGATGCATTCATTGAGAATCCAAATAAAATGGAAGCAATGAATACTTGATGGTGGGTAAGTCAGCCCTTACTGTATAAACCACATATGGGAAATGAGATTAGTTTCACATTGTTTGGTGTCAGAATTCATGGGTGGGAGTGGGGAGTGGGTGCGTGGTAGGCAGATGGATTTGTATTATGCGTCTTTGATGTATTTCTTTTATATCCTTTGACATTCTGTACATCACCTGTACACACAATAAAAAAGTAAAAAATTATAAATAAAAGTTGAGCATAAGATTCGAGTAAACATGGTACTTAAGTATAAACATGGAATCACTGGGTTGCTGTGAGTTTTCTGGGCTGTCTGGCCATGTTCCAGAAGCATTCTCTCCAGATGTTTTACCTGCATCTATGGCAAGCATCCTCAGAGGTTGTGAGGTCTGTTGGAAACTAGGAAAAATGGGGTTTATATATCTGTGGAAAGATGTCCAGGGTGGGATAAAGAACTCTTTGTTTGTTGGAGGCAAGTGTGAATTAACCAGTGTTGTCCGCAGACACCTCCAAGGTCATGTGGCCAGCATGACTGCATGGGGCACTGTTTACTTCCCGCAGAAGCAATACTTATTGATCTACTCACATTTGCATATTTTCGAACTGCTAGGTTGTCAGAAGCTGGGGCTAACAGCAGGAGCTCACCCCCGATCCTCAGATTTGAACGGCTGACCTTTCGGTCAACAAGTTCAGCAGTTCAGTGGCTTAACTTGCTGTGCCACTGGGGCTCTACTTTGAATACTGGTGGGGGGTGGGGGGGGTTTGGATCACCCATATATATATATATATATACACACACACACACACACACACACACACACACATACAAGGCCTGTAGCGAGGGGGGGGTGTTAGGGGTTCACCCCCCCCCCCAAATTTTCAGGTTAAAAAAAAAAACCTGGTTTACTCATGAATTTTAACTGGTTAACCAAATCCCCATGCTAAGTCTATGAGACGCAAAAAATTAAGAGTCCCTCCAGAACTGCAAGCACTATCTCAAGCAAATATTGACAATTTATTCACACTGTCATTACTTGCAGCAATAGCCGATGTAGCGAAGCAACCAAGTTGGGGGGGGGGGGGGTGTTGAATGCTCTCATTAAGGAGGCCAGACTTGGTGGAGGTGGTTGACAGGGACGGAGCTGCAGGCTATTGAAGGCTGCTCTGCCCTCTGCTGTGCTCTTTGCTTCAGCGTGAGCTAGGCGGCAGGTTTCAACCCTCCCCCCCGGCCGAAAATCCCCCCCCCCCCCGCC